TCCTCAAAATCGCAAAACCTAGAGAAAAGATGTGTAAGGTGTATTATGATATGTTAGGTGTTTTAGACTTAAGAGGGTATTTATAGAGGGTGGCTTAGGGTTAATTTAGAGCTAAACAAACCCTAAGGACGTACTGGGCTGCTCTCCAAGTCTTCAAGCTAATCCAAATAAGATTTTGGGCTTAATTTGATCAATCCCGCAAGAAAGGCCCAAGACAGTTTCTGTCCGCTGACTTCAGGGGCATTTTCGTCCATGAAAACGTCCGAACTGGGCTTCAACCAAAACACGAAAGTTGTAGCTCTCGGAGTTAGCTTTCCAACGCCTAGTCATACGCCTTAATCGGAGCGTTGGCCTCAGGCCCTAGGTCGACAGTGCCCATGTGTGGCTGGGTGGCATGCCCGACTGGCGCTGGGCGCCCATGCGGCAAGCTTGGCGCCCCATCTGGTTTGCCTCGCGCCCCATGTGTTCCAGTGCTTCAACGCCTCTTGACATGTCTTCTTGCCTTGAAATTCAACTTTACTCCTTTGCTTCAAACTCTTGAAATTCAATCTTATGACGATAAAATTGACTCTTCAAGTTCTTTAATCACGATCATATTGGCTCCATTCTTCATCCAAATTGTCCTTGGAAAATGTTTGTGTGAATAATCATCCAAAAAGCCTCCAAAAAGGTACAAAATTGGTGATTTTGCACTTTTCTTCACTTTAGCACCTATAAACACAAATATACCAAATATAAGGCATAATCAAGCATAAAATACCCAAAAAGCATAGGAAAATGACCATAAAAAGATGCATAATTTTGGTCTGATCATATTTCCCCCACACTTAAGCTTTGCTAGTCCCTAGCAAACTAAGGTTAATCCTAAGAAAACAAAAATGGTTAGTGACTAAATTAAATAACATATTTATTCCATTTTCGTAGGTGTACGGCGGCACTTAGCTCGTGACGCAAGCCTTTAAACCTTTATACGTCTATAAAGGAGGAGTTATAGTCTCCTGAGGGTTTACTTAACTAGAACGATACCCACAAATATTATGTAACATTAACTAGAGACATCAAACTTTAGAAAATAGAGTACTTCTAACAAATTAAGAATTTAATCTACATTTTCTAATCAAATGCAATATAAGTTAGTAAAAATACAAAGACCATAAGATTCAAATCAACTATGCACAAAACCACTACAATCAATAATTTAGTTTCTAAAATCAACATACCTTGGATGAATTTGACAAGGAAAACTTACCATAGACTTGTATTTACATCTATTTCCAAAGAGAAAGCAATATCATGGATATTCTTCAAAGATTAGAATGGGCTAAAAAGGATGGCTTATTTTTAAGAAAGCAAGGTTACTAACCTTAGAAGTGTTCATGATTTAGGGGTTACTAACGCCCTTTTTCTTTTGAGGTTACTAACACTCATTTTTTTTTCAAGAGGGACAATATTTCCGCATTCCATGCCTCTTATCCTCTTTCCAAGGGTTACTAACTCCTTTTGTTAAAGAAAAAAGTGACAACAATGGATTAATTAATTTTTTTTAAGCAGAAAATATCTCCTATCCTCTTTACATGAAAACACTTCTTTTTAAAAGATTTTAGCTACCCTTCATACCCCCACACTTAGTCTTTGACATATCCATGACATACTTCTATGAATGTACACAAGATTCAACACAAGTTCTAGAAGTAATGCACTTGTCAAAACATTTTTGGGTATGAAAAACCTTATTAATTACACTTCTTGATCAAAGAATGAGGTCATAAGAAAATTTGAAAAATATTTTCAATGTATTTAAACCAAATTAATATTACAAAAGACTATACTCATGGAAATTAAATCAAAATTTACTAGAGATACAAAACAAATTTTTAATTTTCTTCAAAAATTTTGAAAAATTTGTCTCTAATCAATAATATAGAAAAGAAAATAAGATCTTGAAAATAGACTGATTCCTCCCCCACACTTAAAAGACACATTGTCCTCAATGTGTGATGTGCTAGTAATTTGACAAAAAAAATTCGATGACCTCTTTTTGAAATTTTTGGAAAAGTAAGTGCAAAATGACAATTTGTCTTATAAAGAAGAAATTTGGGTTCTAGACAAATCAAATAATCACTCACTAGCAACCAATAAACACAATAAGTGGGGTAATCCAATTAATTGAACACGTGCAAGAATTAATTCACCAAGAAAATCGATGCTCAATCAAAGCAAATTAATCAAACATAGTATCAATCATAGCATCCAAACACATAAGTCTTACATAAGATCCAAATAGAACAAATACAAATGCAAATGCATGCAATGTCATGATAAAAATGCAAAACATAATAGAGTTCATAACATATGACATCCTAAGGATAAGAATCAATGGCCTTTCCTTGGCCTCCTTTGGCCCATGGAATCACGTATGGTGTCCTCCATTCGCTCCATGTAAGCTCTCATTTCACTCCTATGTTGCCTCATCTCTTGAACCATGAGTTGTTGAAATTCTCTCATAGGAAGCTCTTGGAAATTTTCTTCATCAACTTCCAAGGATGGTTGTCCTGTCCCTTGTGATTGTTCAAGTCCTTGTGCATAAGTCCTTCTTTGCACATTGTACCAATGTACCTCATTGGCAATAACTCTCCTCCTTAAACCCAAATGACTTAAACAATTCTCATCAATGACATTGTCTTCATTGTTGAAGCGATATTCACCATCAACTTCAACTCCTTCGTGCACCAAAATCTTGCTAATCAACAATGGGAAAACAAATGCCTTATCTTCATGTGAAGAATGAACCACTTTCCCACATCCTTGAGAGTAACAATCTAGCCATTGGTATTCCATTACAATGACCTAATCCATGGCAAAGCTTGTCTACAACATAAAAGTCTTCAATGCAAAGCTTATGCTTGTTACTACTCCTAGGAATGACATTATGATGCAATAAATAACACACAAGTCTATCCCTTGGTTCCATATACTTGACTCTTACCTCTCTATTCCCTTGGCTATCCATACCAAAAGGAATGTCAAACCTCCTTAAAGCACCATCCCTTTTCCATGTGCTCTCGATGGCGGTCCTTTGCTCTCCATTAACATAAGTAAAATAGAACATACTACCCTCATTGTTCAAACCAAGTAAACGGCATAGATATTCCTCATCAACTACAATGTACTTACCTTTGACCATTGTGTTGATGGTGTAGGAATAACCTTCACGCTCCTTGTCCATGTTGGCATAGAATTGTTTCACCAAATTGGGATAATAGTTTCCATCTACTTGAAGAAGTGATCCCCAACCTCTATTGACAAACAATGGGCTAACTCCAAGTTCTTGATCAATGTTGGTTGGAAGCACTTTGTATAATGAAAGAGTTGTGATACCTTGCTCCATACCACTCATGACACTCATTATCAACAAATATGAGTGGCGGCACACTAAGGAAAGGTTGTATGGTGGTCTCCTCCTCAATTGGTCCGGCTTGGGATGTTGATGCTCTTGCTCTCACTCTCCTTGACATATTCTCGAACACTTGGTGGGCTAGTTACCTTGTAGGGTTTCTTAAAAAATCTTTCTTTAAGATCCAATGTAGCACTCCCCAATGCTCTAAAATGCTCCAATCAACTTCCAAACTATCTCCTATCTCCCTTCTAATCACTCCAAACAAGAATCCAAAGAAAACAACCACTTTCCCAAAACTTGAAAATTTGAAAAATTGATGGATTTGATGGAAAAAGTGTTGGATAATCTAATGGGTAAGTGTTTGAGGTGATAAAAAGATGAAAGAAATGATTTGTAAGTGACAAAGTAGTGAAATTTGAAAATTAAAGTGAGTGAATATGTGTATGTAGGCAAGAGAAAAGAAAATTGAGTGGGTTTTGGATGAAGGTGGGTGTTGAAGGGTTTGAAGTGGGTGTTGGGTGATATTTATAGTGTTTGAGATGGGTGATGGGTTGTAAGTGTTGGAGGGCTCGGGATGAGTATGGGTGCGTGGCATTGTCTGCGCACAGCCCGCGGCACCTGGGTGCCTAAGCCATCTGGCTGGGTGCTCAGGCAAAGCGCCTGGGTGCCCGGCCAGCGTCGGCCTCCAGCGCTGGCCTTAGCGGCTGGGCGCTAAGGCTGTCCAACTAAGTGCCCAGGCTTGCGGCATGGGGCCCCAGCTGGGATCGGGCTTGGCTCCTCATTTTTTGCTTCCAATTGTAATTTTTGCTACCAAACTCAATTCCAACTTCAACTCAATTACCATCCAAAAATCTTACCATATTCAAAATTTCTTCAATCCAAAAACACTTGATTTTCACCAAAAATTCCACTTGATGACCATCAAAAGATTGACCTTATGTTCTTATCACTTAAGAGTCTATATGTATGAGATGCATGAGACAATTGTACAATGATAATATGCATGGAAAAACATTCAATTCAAGAAAATTAATTGATATGCATCAATCAATCAATCAAACATAGGAAATTAAATGAGATTGAAGTTCAAGAAAGCTTCTTTATTTTTGCAAAGTGTAAGCTCCAATTGCTCTTCATGTGTGCTTCCTTTCCTTGTCTCCATTTCTTGATTGATTCCCTTGAATTGAGAATGTAAAATGACCTATAACTAAGGAAAAGAAAATCCAAAAGAAAAGGATAGATGTTAGTGTATTGGGTTGCCTCCCAATTAGCGCCTTCATTTATTGTGTTTGGCTAGACATCCTCGTGGACTATTCTCCATTGGTGAAGGAACGTTGAGTGTGCTCCTTCAAAAGTTCCACAGTGATGTTGAGAGTGTCACTCATGGCTTTGAAAAGTTCAATTATAGCTCCATCAATTTTGAGTAACTTCTCTCGAGCTTCCTTCAATTCCTTGTTGATATCTTCACGCGTGTTGTTGGAAATTTTTCCTCTTTCTCCAAGCTTCTCTTTGTTTTTCTTCTTGATCCAACTTGGAGGTGCAATTGCTTGAGTCAAAGCTTCCAATGCTTCATATGCGTCCTTCACAGTACGATCACACAAGGTTATGTTGCTGATGCTATCCACAAGAAGTTGATCATCGACTTCCAATCCTTGATGGAAATTTTGCCTCTTTCTCCAAGCTTCTCTTTGTTTTTCTTCTTGATCCAACTTGGAGGTGCAATTGCTTGAGTCAAAGCTTCCAATGCTTCATATGCGTCCTTCACAGTACGATCACACAAGGGTATGTTGTTGATGCTATCCACAAGAAGTTGATCATCGACTTCCAATCCTTGATAGAAGCACTCGATCAAAACTTGTTGTGAAATGCCATGTTGAGGGCAATCGGCACAAAGTTTCTTGAATCTCTCCCAAGCTAGGTGGAAATTCTCATCCTTGCGTTGTCGAAAGCTTGTAATCCTTTGTCTCCCCTTTGAAAGTTGCTCACTTGTCATGGGTGAAGATGTTGTACCTAACTCTTTCTTTACCCACTTTTCCACTACACAAACAAAATCATTAGTTTTCAAAGATAAATTTGATGAAAGTTTGGGATGAATTACATCACCGTCAAACTCCATCGTCAATGAGCCATCAAAAACATCGATTTTGGTGTGAGAAGTCCTTAGGAAAGGCCTTCCTAATAAAAGAGGGCATTGATCCTTTGTAATTTCTCCTTCCATTTCCATAACAAAAATATCAATAGGAAAAATTAAACGTTGCACTTTAATCAAAATATTCTCTAGCACACCCTTGGGATGTACCAAAGATCCATCGGCCAATTGAAGATCAACATCGGTGTATTTTAAAGGACCAATTTTTAAAGTTTGATAGAAAGAATAAGGCATGACACTTAAAGATGCTCCTAAGTTAAAAATAGCATTATCAATGATAGTATTTCCAATTGAGCAAGTAATTGAAAACATATCAGGATCCTTGCATTTTGGAGGTAAATGTCTTTGCAAAACAGCAGAAACTGTTGCTCCAACATTCAACTTACCTTGCAACCTTTTCTTGTTTGTACACAATTGCTTAAGAAGCTTTGCATACCTTGGCACTTGTTGAATCGCATCAAGAAGTGGGATGTTGACCTCGACCTTTCGAAAAATATCCAAGATGTCTTGATCTTCATCTTCTTTCATTGATTTCCTTGACTTGGTTGGAAAAGGTTCCTTCTTTGAATCCAATTTGGGCTTGACCACAGAAGTTTCTTTGGCTTTGGTTTCATCATCTTCAATCTTGATCTCCTTCACTAGCACATGCAATTCATCTTCTTCATTGCTTGTCCCTTCATCCATTGTAGGCTTTGTTGGATATGGTTCTTCCAACTCCTTTCCACTTCTCAAGGTAATAGCATTCACATTCTCCTTAGGGGGCAATTTGGGTTGAGATGGGATCTTGTTTTGGCCTTGTGCTTTGAGCTCACTCACATCACTTGCCAATTGACCTATTTTCTTCTTGATGATCTCCATGGTCTCCTTCATTTATTGCATTCCCTCAGAATAGTGTGAAGATTGCCTTGGATAGTTGTTCGGCTTTTCTTGGTAAGCACCTTGGTTCCCATAAGAATTGTAGCTCCTTGGAAATGGCTCTTGTTTCCTTTGAAGTCCCTCTTGCATTCCTAAAGCATTGACTTCTTCAACATCATCTTCGACCAAACTAGGGCACTTATCCCTGTGATGTCGTAATGAACAAATTCCACAAACCTTTGACACACTTGATAAGTTCGATTTGACCAAATCAGTGAGCAAAGCAATTTGTTGAGTTGCTTCTTCAATTCGTTGCTCCAATGTAGAGGAATGGGTTGAGACTTCATTGATTCTTCTAATGTTTCCATCCCTTTGTGCACAACTCTCTCGAGTACCAAATTGTTGTGTGTTGGCGGCCATATTTTCAATCAAAATCCAAGCATTGGTGGGAGTCTTGTCGATGAAAGCCCCTCCACTTGCAGAATCTATAGAAGATTTATCAAATGGGAGTAAACCCTCATAGAAATACTGAATAAGCAATTATTGAGGAATTTGATGATTTGGACAACTTGAGCACAACCTCTTGAAACGTTCCCAAAACTCGTACATAGTCTCGCCTTGGGATTGCTTAATTCCACTTATCTCCTTTCGAATGCTTGAGGCTTTATGAACAGGAAAGAATTTTTCCAAAAATAACTTCTTAAGGCTCATCCAAGAAGTGATTGAACCACTAGGCATGTAGTACAACCAATCCTTTGCAAGATCCATAAGGGCAAAAGGAAAAGTTCTAAGTTTGAATTGCTCCTCAGAAATACCTTGCATCTTCATGGATGAACAAACAATTTGAAAATCTTTGAGATGTCGATGTGGATCTTCTCCAGGCATACCATGAAATTTTGGTAGTAATTGAATGAATCCAGACTTGATCTCAAAATTTTCTTCATTGGTTGGATATTGAATTGCTAAGCGCTGTGTAGTCACATTTGGGGCAGCAAGTTCCATCAAAGTCCTATTGTTGTTGTTTTCTTCGGCCATGTTTTCTCTTGGGGATTGTGATTCCAAACTTGAAGAAGAAGTGGTGGAACGTGGAGAGCTAGCTTGAGAACTTGGTGTTGACGAATCTCCTCCTTGCTCTCTAGGCAAATTCTCCTTCCTTAGTGCAAAGAGTGTACGTTCAGGTTCAGAATTGAATACGAAGTCTTTAGTACCACTACTCCTTGTATTTGGCATACAACACCTAGAAAGAACTTTAAACGGAAAATTCAATAATATCAAGTAACTAAGAAAAATAAAAAGTAAACTAAAAACAAAAGAAACGAAAAATTAAAAGAAAAATAACGAAAAATTAAAAGATAAAAGTAAGAAATTCTTAGGTAGTAATTTGTCTTCAATCTTTTGGTGCTTCTTTCCTTCCCCGGCAACGGCGCCAAAATTGTGATCGGTCGTTGATCAAATCACAAGATAAATCCCCACAAACCAATAACTACTAGTTAGGGCAAGTAGGGGTCGAATCCACAGAGAAGGTAAAAGCAAATCAAAGACAAATTGTACTAAAGAAAAGCTTACTAAAAATGGATTTTTAAGATTTCTCAAAATAGATTAATTAAACTAGAAAACAATTAAAAGAAAACTTAACTTAAAATCTAGAAAAGAGTTTGATAAAAACAATGAATAAAAGCATACTTCTTCTCCTTTAGGCAACTATTTTGATCAAGTGAATCATGGATCATAGACACTAAACATAAATTTGACTTAAATTGCAATCAATTAAGAATCATAAATTACCCTAAATCGGTATATAGCCTAAGACGTAGACATCAACTTTCGTTGAAACAAAGTAATCCTCTTAATATCTTAAACAACTCCATTTGAATAGTTGGTTTAGGAGAGGAATACTCGACCCTCCAACATGCTAAGAGAATTAATCTTGCTACTAGCTAAAACTAATCCCTATTGTTCCTAATCAAGCATCACCCTGTGAAGAATCATAGGACAAGCATTAAGATTTACTTTTCCGCATGCATGATAAATCAATACCAAACTTGCCTACATCAATTTCCATCTCGGCCTTAATCAACGGCTAAACAATAATAATAACAGGGGTATTATTTTCTTACAAAAATTTTAGGTGGCATACTTTGTGCTTTTAGCACAAACTCCCAAATAATAATTGGCTCTTCACGGGTGCCCCTTAGTGCACCCGTTAGCCAAACCGTTGTCTAATTGTGATAAGTTTTGGTGGAATTAATAACTTCACATATGGAATTAATATATTAATATATCTAAATTAAAATATTAATTATTTCAATTGAGATGATGATGACCGTAGAAATTGATTGATATTGGAAATGTAGTGTTGTAGGTTGAATTTCTAAAAAAGAATTAAAAATAATAATAATTTAGGTCAAATCCGAATTAGTCAGAGCTTTCAGTAATGATATTTGGGGCTAAATTCTATTAAATTATGTTTAACTTTTATTAATTTATTTTATTGAATTTCTAAAATCCTATAACAATACGTTCAAATTTTAAGATTTACCCTTAAAATTAATAAATATTATAATTCAAGATTAAACAATAATTATTACCGGGGTATTATTGTCGTACAACAATTAAAAGACATACTTTGTGCTTTTAGTACAAACTCCCGAATAATAATTGGCTCTTCATGGGGTGCCCATGGAAGACAATAACATAAATGTACTTGAAATAAGCTATTCACATGGATTTTCACAATTGCAATACTATTTTAATTTAATGAACATGGAAGATCCAAATATAAAATCCAAATAAAAAACCCAAGTAAAAGTATACTAATAAAAAATATAATCCACCCGCAGCGAAGCACGGGCATTGCCACCTTGTAATATATAAGTTTAACCCACTTATCATGTGACGTGACGTACGCTATTCATTCATTTTACATGAGTCCTTACTTTCACGTGTATTGCACGTGACCTATCATGTTTAAGTTAAAAGAAAATTAAAATAATAATAATTAACAAAAACTAAGGGGAGAAAGAGGCTGATATGAATCACCAGTTCTTAATGAAGTAGGGGATGAATTATTCCTCTATCAATTCCTATTTGGCCTACCTTATCTACTGAAATAAGTGTTTCTGAAAATGACTTCCGGAAAAAGCTCTAATTTGGAGCTTCTAGCTTTTAGTTCAAAAACAATTGAGAAGTGTATCTATAAAGCAGTTCTAGATTTCCTATTTGACCCAACTTAAACTTCTTTTCAGTAGATAAGCTGTTAATTTTTTTTTCGGTACATAAGACATTGCAGCAAAGTTACTGGCCTAGCTTAAAGCCCTTTTGAAAAAGGACTTCTGGGAAAAGTTTCAATTCAAAGCTTCTGGCTTGTAGTTAGAAAACAACTGAAAAGTACTTATAGAAAGTACTTCTGGATTTCCCGTTTGGCCCAACCTAAACTTTTTTCAATAGATAAGCTGTTACAAGCGAACCTGAGTGATCCTGCGCCATCAAATCCTCCAACCCAAACGGTGGAATCTCTAAGACAAAAGTAGCCAAACCATAGACTAAGCCAAATTAGGTAGGAAATTTGCACATCCGTTGTCTTCTTTGTAAATAAACTGTTAAATAAGTTAAACCAAATGGGCACTTAAGTAGCAGACTGATTTGAATCATCAGAATTACCATATACCAACAACATAAAACATTCAACAAATTTTGCAATCGAATCATCACAATTACCATTTATCATAAATTCAGTTGCACGTAAAAGAAATTCTTTTAACTGTTAGTATTAGTCTAGCAGTGTTGGTCAGAATAAAAAACATATTATTAATAATCTTAAATTAATGTAATAATATAATTATTGATTAAAGTAATTGAAGAAATTAATATTAAAAATTGATAGATTTGAAATAAATAAATATAATAAAAACAAATTAACTACCCTAATTTTCTTATCAAATTTGAGATTGAATATAATTCTTTTAATTCATTATATTATCCTAAAGATGAGAATTTTTTGAGCTTTATTTCAATTTTTATGTTTACTTAAATAAACTAAACTTATTATTTTTCAAAATTTTTATTATATTTGGAAAAAAAATTTTTAATACATATTATCCAAAAATTATTTTTAAGTTAACATACCGCGAACCAAAATATGGTAGCGAACAGGGGCGGATCTACGTGAAGCCTTGAGGGGGCCATGGCCCTTCCAAAAAAAGGAAAAATTGCATAGTAATCCATAGATTTATATGCAATTTTAGTATAAAATTTTTAATTTGGCCCCCCAAAACTTAATTTGACATAAAGTAATTTATATGGCTCCCTCAAATTTATATGTAAAGATCTGCCCCTAGTAGCGAAGTGATACCCATTTGGTTATATCTGCCATAATGTTTCAGTTCCTGTATGAAGTACCGGAACGTACTGTGTTCGTGGTAACTATGCACACACATTTTCCTACATATAATTACATGTTGAACTAAAAAAAAATCTATAAAGGAAAAAAATTAAATACTACATACTAGTTCCTCCTTAATAAAAAAAAAGAAGAAAATTTCATTAGTGTGACAATAATAAGTTTTTTTTTGGAGCAAAATAGCATATCATATAATGAAAAAGATCAGGATACAAAAACATCGGGAGGCAGACTCCCGTACTGCACAAAGCTAGCTACATGAGTATAAGCATGTTTAGCTAAACTATGAGCACATACATTAGCTTCCCTCTTGACATGAACAAAGGAAATAGAATCAAAGAAAGAAGCTAGGTCCCTAATCTCTTCTAAAACACAGTCACCTTCCCAACTAACACGACCTTTCTTGTTAAGAGCTAAGACAACCATTAAGCAATCACTTTCAATTACGCAGTGATTGAACCCCTCCTGCCTTGCCATTAAAACACCTAAACAAACTGTAAATATTTCAGCGTACAGGGAGTCCTTGACAAATCGATCCTTGGCAGCTACACTACATAACACCTCTCCATTGGAATCTCGAGCCACCGCAGCTAAACCCGCTCCATCTTGGGGATTCACAAAAGCTGCATCTACATTCACCTTGGCTATACCTTCAGCTGGTGGAGTCCATACTATCTCCCTCCTATGAGTCTCAGTCCGTTGTCCTTGCCCTTGTATCCGAGATACCTGTCTAAGATGAAATTCAATTGTGGCAGAAAGTTTAGAACGAGTTGCACAAGTCTGATCGTGATAACATCGATTTCGATTCCCCCACAAAACCCATAAAGTTAAGAACACTCTATCTAAAGACCCCAACTGAGCAGCCTTATTAAATAGATTGTTCCAAAATTGATCACCAGTAGCCCAGTCATCCAAAAAATCTTCTACCCAAGGACATAACGACGACCAAACTGCTCGACTAAGTGGACAGAAAAAGAAAATATGCGGTATAGTCTCCGAGTTAGTCCCACAAACAACACAACTATCAACTACATCCATTCCTCTGATTCGCAAATTCGAAGTTACTGGCAACAAGAACTGGACTACCCGCCACACAAAATACTGAACTTTGGGATATACTTTCGCTGTCCAAATTAAATGCCAAATGGGAGATCTTTGTTGTACTGAAAATTCCTCCCTACCTAAAACCTTTCTTGCTACAACATATCCTGACCTCACCGAGAATTGACCCATTGGATCCAAATTCCATAAAAGCGAATCCCTTCTCCAATGACCTGGTAAAGGTAAGCACCTAATCAGGAAGACATCATCTTCCAGGAATAAATCCTCAAGCTTCTTCACCTGCCAACTTCTCGTATCGTGATCAATTAAGTCAGCAACTCTTAAATTATTAATCTCATCACCAAAATCAGCTTTCAACCGCGGTATATAGCTAGGATGACTATCAATCCATTTTTCTTTAAGAGCTAAAATACTCGCTCCATCTCCAACTCTCCAGCGACTTCCCTCCTCTAAAACCCTTCTCCCAGCAAGCAAACTTCTCCAAATAAAAGAAGGGTTTGTACCTAATTTGGCTCTCATAAAGTCTGATCCCCAAAAGTACTTTGCCTTCATAATACGGTAGCAAAGAGAATCTGGATTAGTCATTAAACGCCAACATTGTTTAGCTAGGAGAGACAAGTTAAATGCCTCGAAGTCTCGGAAACCAAGACCACCATCCATCCGTGACACACACAGATCAGTCCAACTATGCCAATGGATTTTCTTCCAATCATGGTTCTCTCCCTACCAAAAATTTGCAATCATCATATTCAGTTCCTGCAAAAAACCTTTGGGAAATTTAAAGCAGCTCATAAGATATAAAAGCACTGCTTGAGCCACTGCCTTTATTAGGATTGCTTTCCCAGCAACAGACAATAATTTTCCCTTCCAGCTTCGTAACCTTACCCAAAGCCGATCTTTAATGCTCTGCAGTTCACGCCGTCTAGACCTTCCTACCATAACAGGTAAGCCTAGATACTTTTCGTTTTCAATAACTCGGCTCACTTCCATCCTCTGCATGATAGTGTCTCTTAAAGCTTGCGGGGTGTTCTGACTAAACAATATAGCTGACTTATCGATATTTATTTGCTGGCCCGAGGCCAAAGCAAATCTGCTCAGGAGCTCTCCAACAACATCAGATTCCTCCAACGAGGCCTTTAAAAACAACAAACAATCGTCAGCGAAAAATAGGTGGGTTACCTTTGGGGCAAATCGATTTACTGCAACGCCTTCAATATCACCATTTCGTGCTGCATCTTGAAGCAAAGCAGAAAGACCCTCCATGCAAAATAGAAATAGATATGGTGACAATGGATCACCCTGTCTGATTCCTCTTGTTGGAATAATCTTCTCACTGAGCTCGCCATTAATCGAAATTGAATAGGAAACTGATCTAACACACATCATGATCCGAGCCACCCAATTATCAGGAAACTCCATACGCTGCATAATCCTCTCTAAAAAGAGCCATTCAACCCTATCATATGCCTTGTTTAGATCCAACTTTAACGCCATATGCTTCTTTCGACTCTCCCTTTTATTCCTCATAAAATGCACTGTTTCAAAAGCAATGAATGCATTATCGAAGATCATTCTATCAAGGATAAAAGCACTTTGAGACTCACCTATAAGTGAAGGTAAAACTTCCTTTAATCTATTGGCCAAATTCTTTGAAACAATCTTAATCAGTACATTACAGAGACTTATGGGCCTGTAATCTTTCAGGGAAGTAGGAGAAGTAATTTTTGGAGCTAAAACAACCCGAGTGTCGTTGAAATCAAGGAGAGGAGCTCCATGGTTTAGGAACGAGAGTACCATATTAGTGACATCCGACCCGACAATTGACCAAAAGTGTTGGTAGAATTTAGGTGACATGTCATCCTATAGACACCCATTTTTAACCCATATCCTATAAATTAGGTTAAACTGTTTCGCAATCTGCATTAGGGTTATTTAGGGGCATTTGGGTCAATATATAGCTTTGCTAAGGCATCTTGGTAGGGTACTCATTAAATTGCATTTAGTATAATTCATTACATCATACTCTCGTAGCATTACATTCAGTATTTACATTTTGCATAGTCCATATTTGCATTTCGCATAGTCCAGGTTCATATAGTTTTTGGGGTCTTCACTTATCTAGGTTCATATCTTCACTTATCTAGGTTCATATAGTTTTTGGGGTCTTCACTTATCTAGGTTCATATAGTTTTTGGGGTCTTCACTTATCTCCTTGCTTTTGTTTGTGCTTTTGTTGGACATTAAAAGCAAAAATACAAAGAAATTGAAATGGAAAAAGTCACAGAAAAGAGATGGAATTATTCATTTAACATTGTATCATTGGCCACTTCCCTCCCATGTTAGGCTAGTCTTGTTTAGGTTCTTTGATTTTCCCTTTTGACTTAATCTTAATCATTTTTGGGGTTACCTTATTTTGTTGCCATCAGGTTTGTTTCGTTGACTCGGTCATCTTTCAATTATTCGAATGGACATTAAAGACTAATGGAAAGGAAAAGACAATAAGAATAAGAGTGCAATTTCCTTATATACCAATTCCCAAATTACGGGAAGAATTGTCAAGTTACAGATTACATAAAAAGAAATTAGAAGGGCCCAACACGCTTCAATCCAAGATGGCTTTTCTCTCTGATTTGTTACCCCTTCCTTGATTAAGATTATGGAGTCCAATTTGATATGCAAACACATGTATAACAAGTCGGATCAATTGGGCAAGCTGTTTCATAATATAAAGCAAGAAAATGCAAGTTAGAAGCAAAACAAAATAGCCCAAGCAAATTGCCAACGGTGCAGTGCCGGAAAAGTGCAGATTTGATTACCTTGGATAGCTCGAACGGAAAAACTTTGTGAACAGAGGTCGTAGAGGACTCTTAGGGCTTCGATTTGAGCACAAGAACGACATGATTTGGATTTGGGATGAGGGAGATATGGACCCCGCAATACAGCCTCCAAAATCGCAGAAATTCTGGACAGAATATTGCAGTCCGGGGAGATTGGAAAATTGGTCCCTAAAACGACCCCAAATGCCAAAATGGTCTTCATAAAGGTCGAAGAGCACTCTCCAAGCTTTCTCCAGCCTGCAAGAACACAGCAATTGGAGCTGAATTGAAAAAGTTATGAATTTTTAAAGACAGCAGCAAATAAAGACATTTTTGCAGCAAGCATTTCAAGAGACAATGCTTAATACCATACTCACCAATGGTCACCCCAACAGCCAAATCGGAGCACAAACAGCAAGGCTCATCGCCAAGAAGCAGAGTGGCCAAAAGGCAAATACTCAATAGCCAAGTAAAGACCAAAACAGGAAAGTTACAAATAGTTTGTCAGCATATAAGTACAAGTGCCTAATTCAACATTCCTAGGTTTGGTGTATGTTTGCACTAGCAGTTTAGATTTTTTAGCACTAAGCATTTTTGCCTAACATAGTCATCATTTTAAGTATTTTCATTGCATTAACATGCATTTGTCAATACAAGAGTCAAGCAATTCCAACGACTTTGCATATTGGACAGCAAAGTGGGTGCATAGAAACAACTCTCTATATATAAACCAGTGGATTAAAATGGATTAAAAGGGATCATCAGATGCAACCAAAAGCAGTTGCTAAAAGGACAAAGAGTACTTGAATCAAATTCGCCCAAGCCACCAAAACAGCTCAGCAATCCATGCAATGCCGCAAAAAGCCAAATTAATCAGGCAGGCGCGTTTCAAGGAAATGTGAGTGAGCTAAATTCCATCAAAATAAAAGGAGATAAAAAGCATAAAAGGACCTTTGCTGTGACGATTACATTGGTTCCGATACTTCAGGGAATAATCAGAATGGCCTTCAACCTCCACGTCACCTACAGAGCAGGAATTAGAAAATTGATGGAATTTTAGGAAATTAAAAAATACAGAGCGAAAGGACGATGACTCACCACTACAGCTCATCTCCTCAAATCTGCTCCATGCTTATCATCTTTACCTGCCCCAAATGAAGGAGAGATGATCACTTGGCCTATAAATAGGCCCTTGTTCTAAGTAATTAAGGGGGAGAAGATATGGTAGAAGGGGAAAAAAAAGCTAAAAAATAATACAAGGAAAATGAGAGGTTCTTACCATGGAAGAACGAATTACCTTCCTCCATTCTTCAGAGAGTCATTTATGAGATTTGGGGTTTCACTGGGTTTTGAAGGTTGCTTTTATGTCGGTTATGAGAAGTTTCGAGAAGAATAGGGAAAAGAGGAAGCTTTGAGGTATCTGATGATGATAGGAGAAGGAGTGACCGACAACGGTGTCGTGGAAGGCTATGGTAACACCGATGTAAGGGCGGTGAGGTGAGAAAGGAAAAGGGGATTCGGGTTAGAAGAAAAGGGAGGAGAAAAGGAAAAGAAAAGAAGTAGAGAAGAAGGAAAGAAATATAGACAGAGAAGACCATAAAAGAAGAAAGAAACGGGGCTATGGCCGCTACAGTGGTGGTCATCAGGTGAAGCGGCAGCGGTTGCAAGGTGGTGGCGCGGTGAAGGTGGCAGCGGCACTTTCCGGTGGCTAGGGTTAGAGGAAGAAGGTGAAATCAGAAAGAAGGAGGGAAGAAGCTGACTTATATAGTCCGTACGAGGTAGCAGCAAAACGACGTCATTTCCATCAAAAGTCATCAGAATCAGGTACAACTTTTCCCTCATTTTTCAATATAGTCCCTATTTGGTGCATCAAGGTCCTTTAGGTGGTCATTTATTTCAATCAAGTCCTGCAACTTGTTATAATTTTCAAATAAGTCCCTAAATTAAGACAGGGTGATACGAATAAGTCCTAATAGTTATTATTTGTGTCAATTTAAGGTCTAATTTAGTTCATTTTGAGTGATTGAATTAAAAATTAAATTTAACCAAGGTTTGATTAAGAAAGGCTAAGATTGGTTCAAGCATATGCATCCACATTTATTAATTTTATTAAATGCCATGACATTTGAGATTAAATAATTTGATTCCAAGGATGGAATAAACGGTTGGAACATAGACAGTGTTTGTCGGTTTCAACCCGAATTTCCTAGGTTTGAGGCATCTATTTGGGGGTCTTACCAATCAAGTGGAAGGCACCCAAAAAGTGCCTCTCGTATAATCACTTGGTAAAATATGATTGAACACATATGCATTAAGTAAACACAGTCAAGGCCCTAATTTGGGTAATTAAGGAAGATGAAGTCTTAATTCAAGGTAATTAAGAAAAGTATGCATAGTTAAAGACTTAATTCATAGAATTTAAGTAGAAACAGTAGTCAAAAGACTTAATTCATAGAAATTAAGTGGAAGTAATAGTTAAAAGGCTTAATTCATGGCAATTAAGTAAGAACATTAGAAGACTGACTTAATTTCAAGGGAATTAAGTAAAGATAGACTGGCTTAGTTTCGAGGAAACTAGGTAAAGAAAAGTTTGGCTTAATTTCAAGGAAATTAAGTAAAAAGACTGGCTTAGTTTCAAGGAAACTAGGTAAAGAAAAGATTGACTTAATTTCAAGGAAATTAAGTAAAAAAGACTGGCTCAGTTTAAAGAAAGAAATTAGGTAAGGATAAGCACAGACTTAATTTCACAGAAATTAAGTAAAGTCAGCAAAGATTTAATTTCACAAGAATTAAGTAAAATTAGTAATGACTTAATTTCACAAGAATTAAGTAAATTGGCAAAGACTTAATTTCAGAAGAATTAAGTAAATTAGCAAAGACTTAATTTCACAAAAATTAAGTATAATTGGCAAAGACTTAATTTCACAAGAATTAAGTAAAATTAGCAAAGACTTAATTTCACAAGAATTAAGTAAAGTCAGCAAAGATTTAATCCATAGATGATTAAGTAAGATCAGACAGAGGGCTTAATTTCAAGGAAATTAGGCAAAAGAAAGAAGACTGAAATTAGACTGAAAGAAGACTGAAATTAAACTGAGATTAGACTGAAAAGAAGATTGAAATTAGACTGAAATAAGACTGAGAGAAGACTGAAAGAAGATTGGCTTAGTTTCAAGGAAACTAGGTAAAGAATAGACTGGCTTAATTTCAAGGAAATTAAGTAAAGGAAAGACTGGATTAATTTCAAGGAAATTAGGTAAAAAGAGACTGGCTTAGTTTCAAGGAAACTAGGTAAAGATAGACTGACTTAATTTCGAGGAAATTAAGTAAAACAAGGACTGGCTTAGTTTCAAGGAAACTAGGTAAAGATAGACTGGCTTAGTTTCAAGGAAACTAGGTAAAGAAAAGACTGGCTTAGTTTCAAGGAAACTAGGTAAAGAAAAGACTGGCTTAATTTCAAGGAAATTAGGTAAAGATAGACTGGCTTAGTTTCAAGGAAACTAGGTAAAGAAAAGACTGGCTTAATTTCAAGGAAATTAAGTAAAAAGAGACTGACTTAGTTTCAAGGAAACTAGATAAAGATAGACTGGCTTAATTTCAAGGGAATTAAGTAAAAAAGGGCTTCCTTAGTTTCAAGGAAACTAGGTAAAGACAAGACTGGCTTAATTTCAAGGAAATTAGGTAAAGATAGACTGGCTTAATTTCAAGGAAATTAAGTAAAAAGACATAGGCTTAATTTCAGGAAAGGAAATTAAGTAAAATAAAGAACTTAATTCAGTGTAATTAAGTGAGGTCAATAAAAGGCTTAATTCAGGGTAATTAAGTAGAATAAAGAACTTAATTCAAGGTAATTAAGTGAAATCAATAAAGAACTTAATCTAAAAAGAGATTAAGCAAAACAATAAAAGGCCTTGATTTATAAAAATTGAGTCAATAAAGGGAAGGAAATAATGAATTGGCTTAATCTAAATAAAATTAAGTCAAAATAAAGGCAATAGTAAATTGGTCCAATCCGGATAATTGAGTAAAAAACGCTAGTAACAATTTAGCATAAAACGAAGAACTAATTAAGGTTAAGTATAAAATAGGGCATGCAAGATTAAGGCTTAAGAGGAGAATTAACCAACTATAGAAACCCGAAGTCAGTTCTAGATCAGTCAGTGCCGTCGTTTCGACAGGCGTCGTGGGGGTGCTAATCCTTCCCCACGCGCACCCGACTCCCGGATCTTAGACTCTGGTTGAGCAGATTGTATTAAGTTTAGTATTACCTAATTAGGTTAATATTAGATTTAATAATTGGATAGGTGGCTAATCACACCTAGGTAAAAAAGATTAGTGGCGACTCCACGTAAAGAACCATCAAAAGTAGTTTCCCCCGCCGGGCCTTTCGCACGTTGCGACACATCCGGGCCTGGAGCCTTGCTTGGATGCATGTCAAAGACTGCTTGCTTCACTTCTTCTCTTGTGAATTCAATATTCAGCAACTGCTTCATATCCACTGTATGCCGATTCGGTACCTTGTCAATTACCCAATCAATCTCCTCATCCGAAGGGTTAGTCGTAGCAAAGATTTCCCTAAAATAACCCACCAGTTCAGCTTCAATGTCTTTAAAATCAGTCTTCTAATTCCCCACCTCATCCTGGATCCCTGTTATAACATTTCGATTTTTCCTTGCTGAAGCAATTAAGTGAAAATACCCTGTATTGCAATCACCCTACTCTAGCCATAGAGCTTTCGACCGTTGCCTCCACAAGATTTCTTCTTGTTTGTATAAATCCTCAAGCTCATCCTGGTACTTTTGCAGATCGGACGAATCACCTCCTGCCTGCGCAGATTCATAGACAGTATCAAACACTCTCTTTTTCCTTTTAATAGCCTGCTTCATATTCCCAAAAACCCTCTTGTCCCAGTCATCCAAATCAGCTGCACAATTTTGGATTTTAGTCAAGATATTCGACTCCCCATTTGCTTCCCAGGCCGATCGAACCACATTCTGCACCTCACCATGCATGCACCACATATTCTCAAATCTAAATACTCTTCGTTGCCTCTGCATATTCTCCCATTGATTGCTAACTCCGATCAGAATCGGTAAATGATCAGAGATAATAGAAGGAATATGTTGTTCATAACTAAAGTTAAATCTCTTCAACCAAGATCGAGATACTAAACATCGGTCAAGTCTTTCGAAGACAAATTCCCCATTTATCCTCCGTTTCCAAGTCATCTTTGGCCCTCGTATAAGAATCTCCATGAACTCACAATCATCAATGACCGACCTAAAGGCTTCTATGAAATGTGAAGGTCTTAATGCACCTCCAATTTTCTCTTCAGAAGACAAAATTTCATTGTAATCTCCTACACAGAGCCATGGCAAATCACATTGACTATGTAAATTTCTCAACAAACTCCAAGATTCATGCCTACGAGTAGCAACTGGTTGCCCATAGAACCCCGTGAAACGCCAAACAGAAGCACAATTTTCATCAAAAATGGTATCTATATGGCTCATAGAGTAAGAAACCAAAGACAATTTTATTGAATTATTCCATAACACTGAGAGACCCCTAGCCCGCCCATTACAATCAACTGAAAAACAATTATCAAATCCAAATCGTACCCTAATCCATTCCATCTCCGATTGCTTCCTTTTTGTTTCTGAAAGAAAGATCAGCTGAGGAGAAAAGCCACGTATTAGGGTAGCCAGTCTATGAACTGCTCGGAAAGATCCCAATCCGCGACAGTTCAAAACCAAGAAACTCATTTTCCTCGACAGAGGTTGGTCTCACCCACCTCCGCCGCTGGTACAGGTTGTTTTCCACGATCAACAGTTTGCTCCGCACGAACCACTTGTGCTTCCTTGTAACCCTCTGTCTCCATCTCAGTCTCCTTGGATCTCTTACCAAATCCCCCTTCATTGATAGACAAACCTTTGGATCTTTTCTGTCCGACTTGAGCATTAAACGCTGGTTCAAGAACATCAAAAGAGTACTGATGAGAAACCCTCGCACTCTTTTTCCACTTGCGAATCTTCCTCGTCTCCACCTGAGGATTTTGGCCGAACACAAAAAAAGAAGATGAGGTTTTAGACTCATTATCGCCCACATCCTTTGCAGGACCCAAATTAAGACCTGCATCCTTAGCTTTGGGATTAACACAACCCACATTAGATTCTGCTAAACCCTTGTTTCGGTCCAACCCAAGCGCCTCTTTCTCATTATTACCCAAGCCCACTTTATATGGCCCAACACTAAATTTCCCTTGGCCCAAAGCTGCAACAACTTTATCCCTAGTACCATGGAAAGTATTTCCACGTTCTCTTGTTGGAGTCAAAGATTCCCCTGATCCTTCGGCCACTAACAACGGGATATAATTGGGATTCTCCTGTGTCTCCCTTACTGCCCTTCTTATAGGATTCATAGCCTCCACGTTGCCAACTTCCTTCTCATTTATAGGAATCACTTCCCTTCCCACTACTTGCTTATTTTTTGCACCACCCCTCCCCTGGAACCGGGAGTCAACTTCTTCAGGAGATCCACGATAGGTCCCTCTCGCCAGTTGGCGCCCCCTCAGCAAAGCGCTGTCCACGTGGTTTGCAAACCACCGTCTGCCTCCCTCCATCGCTGATTCCCCGTTCACTGATCCCGTCTTAGCCGGAAGTCCACCCTCCCTCAATAGACTAGACGCCTGGTTCTGAACCCTCCGTCTGCTACCCTCAATCGCCGATTCCCCGTACACTGATCCCGTCACTGCTGGAAGTCCATCCTCCCTCAATAGACCAATCGCCCTAGGTCTCCAGCTCGGGGCTCCACCTGATCGGAAACTGTCTGTGGGAGCATCATTCTTTCTGAATTTGATGTCCGGTGATTCTGCTTTTAGTTCAGGTCCAAACTTCCTTTCCACAAACCCCTGGTAATACGTTGGTTGACCGCTATCGGGCAATCTCCCTCCTAGTGAATCAACGAACCACAAACGTAACAATAAGCCGGTGTCTTCTCATACTTGAAGGTCACCGTAGTATCCCCATCAGGAGTTTCCACCTCATGTGTCTTCTTCATGGGCAAATTCAAATCGACATTTACCCTGATTCGAAGGAACCTTCCCCAATATGGGTCAACTTCCATCACTGTCCCAAGCACCTGTCCCACAGCCTTGCCTACCATCTCATTCATCATATTAAGCATTAACCTAAAGATCCTTACCCAAAATGGGCCAAAATCAAAATTCACCTCCTCTGGCACTTGATCCCCATTGTATTGTCGAAGAACCAATAGTGCTCTGTTAAAACACCATGGTTGATTGACAAGAACACGATCTCTCTCCTGACCATCTTCAAACTGGAACCAGAATAACCCATCCCCAACCTCCTTGATCACCATATCACCCACCAGGTGCCAAGCTTGAAACATGGCCGAACGTAGTCCTTCAGCATGAACTCTCTTCTTAGCAAACAAATGGCCAAGAATACCAGGACTATTACCTTCACCATCGAAACCCGCAATCCATTCTGGATTAATGACAATTTTGGATTCTCCCTCCTCCCGGATAGAAAGCTTAGAGCACATATTTGAAAGAGACATTTTCGAAAGAACAAACCACCAGGAATCACTCACAAGACAAGATTTGAAAGCACTCAAAAAACCAAGAGTAAAGTGAATCCACGAGTACCAGCGAGGTTCCCTTTTTATAGAATAAGAAACAGGATAAGAATACTTTTGAATTCGAATTTGAGATACCCAAATCCAATGACAAAGAATCTGATCCGAAACAGAAAAATCCTTCAACAATCCTAGTGAGGATTCTAAGGAAGTAAGCTTGTACAAAGACAAGGGAGGATCCTCACCGGAGAGTCCCCGGAAGGAAGGACAGAAACACAGCATTAGAATTAGGCCTCAGTGAAGAGAGGGAATGGTAAGTTACTGACAATAATAAGTTATGATAAGAAAAAAAAAATCCAAACTATAAAATTTCAAAATTATATATAAAGAAATCAAACGTGAATTGACAACTTCTAATACAATGCTACAAACAACAAATTATTTCCAAGTCCAACCGATGGATGGTCACATGCGACTGTAGGTAAGAAGAGCAGTAGCATTTAAGGAAGCAACTTCAAGTAACTTTTGGTCACGCTCAAATATAGCCATTTCTACCTCATCCAATGTCACCCAAGCTTCTACGCCTCCCATTTTTGAATCTGTCAAAACAATCAAGTTCTTGAAATTACTTGGACTCGTTACCCACATCGGCTTTCCCCACCCAAAATCCATTTCATACAATGGGTAACCACACAAATTTGCACAAGTATATGTGTTGATGTCGTCTGCTTTCCCATTCAGCAGCTGTGCGATCTGTTTTCGAGACTCATGAACTTCTTTGTACCCTTTCTTGCTCGTAATTCTCTTTGCCTTTTCGTCACGAATGTTGCTCGAAACCTCCTTCATCTTCGCCACCATTTGATGGAGTTCCACATCCTTCTCATGGAACGTCACGGCGTAGGTGTAAATCAAGTTCCCTATTGTGTTCTTGGGTAGAGGTGGAACCATTCTTTTACGCAAGTTCACGACGTTGAGCAAGGCGGATTTCATGGAGCTGGACCCGTGTTTTGATTGCGAAGCTGCGGCGGCGGATCTTAATATGATTGCTAAAACGGATTCTACGTTTTTTACGGTGGTGCTACGCCCCATGGCGGTGGCAAGTTTGGCATTGAGGTTTGATAATTGTGATTCATGGAAGACGAATCTCTTGGTGGTGCAGTTCCGAGTAGTGGGTGGTGGAGTCGATGTGATGAGTGATTCCATAGGCGGCAACAAAGACGCCCCAACAAGGTTTGGCACGACGACTCTGCCATATTCACGGCTGCTCACGGCGGTCCAGCTCTGTATGAAAGCACACAGCGAAGAAGCATCGGCGAATTTGTGGGAGACGGAGACGGAAACAGCGGTTCCGCCACATGAGAAGGCGGTGAGTTGAACAAGCAAGATACAAGCCAAGGTTGACCGAATGGATTTGGGGTCAGTGGAAGGGACCAATTGGTTAAGGAAAAGAGAGTCAGGTTGGGTGAGGAAACGTTTGAGTTGGAACTCTGTTTTAGCTTCTATGAAGCAAGCACCTTGGTCGTTGCATTCGATGGTTACGGCATCCTTGACTTGACCGGCAAGAGGGTAAAAATGAAGTAAGATTTTGGACAATGAGTTTTTGAGGGACTCGGATTTTTGGGAGAATGGAGTGTTGTCTGAAGGGTAGAAGAACACGACAGAGCCATAAAGAATTGCTGGAACATCTTGATCTAAAAGGGATAGATTGAAATTTCTGAGATGGTTTGGGGTTGGTATTGATGGTTTGATTGTCTTTCTTGACATGATTTCTACCTTCATTTTCTCCATTATTATTTCTCTTAAATTTGCCTCAAAAGCTGTATAGTTTTTTTTCTTTTCTTTTCTTTTTTTTTCTTTTTGCTTTATGTTGGCCTACTGATCTTTGGCTCGTTGCCTATTTATACATGCATTCAAATCCATATATAATGTTGTCAATTATGTGTTGTCTTAATTAAGACGGGTTTGAATTTGAGTGCGTGGATTTCCTCTAAATTATTGAGGCAGCAGCCACTTAGGACCTCACCAAAATGAAATTTTTTCTCATAAAAGACCATTTCTCAGATCCCATAATATATATCTTCTTCATTTTAGTCTAATTATTTAATTGAATATATATGTCCATGGATGCAGATTATTAGATTAAATTAATTAATTATTCCGATTAAATAATTTGGCCAGATGCAGATTATTGGTTTTAATTGTATTTTTGGAGTAGAAGAAGAACCGGTCATTGTCAAATATGTGGGTATTATATAATTCAGCTTGGCAACTTTGTCATTCAACGTAAGCAAACAAAAATGTGTTGGAATCCATGTTCTAAATGTCAATGCGACCTTAATTTGGCGAAAAAAAAAAAAAATCAATGCGACCCTATATATATATATATATATAATTAGATTAACTTAGTATGGGCAAAAGTTTAGGAAGACTAAATCAAATAACTCTCGAAGGAAGTCGACGATATCAAGAGAGCACTTTCTTCGAGAGGTCAATTTCTTCTTTATTAGTATTATATATACAACTTGATTCGGTCATATCTATACTAATTATGAAGCGAAAACATGAGTTTGTCTAACGAGCTGATTCGGAGACAAACTCAATTACTCACATATAAATATAACAAAATAAAAAAAATGAAAAAGAGTTGGTTATACTTATCAACTAACTGCTCAAACTAATCCACTAACACTACTACTACTTAACGTAATTTAGTTTTGTTTTATTGAACCAACCCCTACACAGTTTTTCTTCTTCTTCCTTCCTCTTCCACTCCCCATTGTTAATTTAGCCATGAACACAATATCTACAGAGTTTCCTTCTTCTCCCTTCCTCTTCCTCTTCCCATTGTTTAACCAAGAACACTGTAGAAATTAAACGGTTAGATAAGTTCTCAAACTTACCTTTTGCGGAAGATTAAAATTACATAATGCCTATAGATTACTCGCTCACGGTCTGTCTTCTCTCAATGGGATCGAAACCTTCACCTGTACAGTCCAAGAACCAAGTCTAGATGAGAGTTGATCAATGGTGTAATCGGCCTTATGTTTTTGTACTTGGAAAAAGCTGCTGGTCTTTTTCTTTCTCAATTGCTAATGATTATCGAAAACAATTCTTATCCAACAAAAACTGTTTAGTAATACCAAAACAATAACCACTAACTTGCGGTTATTTAATTTAGCACGTCATGTGTATATATTTGAAATGCAAAAATATGGTTGAGCGGTTCTTAAAACCGTCCACCTTTTCCTTGGTTTTAGGTCAAGCTCGATTTGGGCGGCCCAAGTCCAACATACTCCCACTCGCACAAATGGGATTGACCGTACACCAAGTAAACACAACTCGAAAATCTAGTTCATACTAGCAAATGAATCGTACGACCGACGAGTAACATCTGCAATTCGGGAGCACTTATCTACATGCCTGTTAGGGTCATTGTAGGTGCTACAACCCTTTATCAAATTGGATTAATGATAATAACTAAAACTCACTTACGCCCTAGACTTATTTATGTTACATCAATCCAAGTACTCTTGTCTGTACTCTTAATGGGCACCCCCAGTTCTAGTTATGGATCGGGCTAGAACATCCGATTCCGTGGAAAAAGAAGAGTCTATTTCAGGTTAAGCTGATGTGATGTATTGGCCGAGCCCTCAACCCCAACAGAAAGATCAACTCTAACTCTGATGGGCGGATCAATTCCAATGCGGAAAACTAGTAAGAATTATGCCAGCCGTGACGTGGATGATTCGCCGAATCAATTGCTGACTTCACCACGATCGATTAGGTGAAATGGTTCCGCAAAGGTTGTTTGTTCATGTAGTAAGTGCCAGCCATGCAATTCGTACTGCGATATTCTTCTACCAATTTATAGGAGGCTCGAATAGTGTCTTCACTTCACTGCACTCCTTTAGTCTTTTAGTAGTTTCTCGTATGGCCATGGATGCGGAAACAGCAAATAGGCTTTTGGCAATTTCGGCAGAACTTCAACGTCGTAGTTGATCACTCCTAGGTACCATGACGTATTTCGTTTCAAGTCTATGCCAAAACTCTTGGCAACTTGGTTGGCCAGCTTACGAAATACTCACAGAGATGCATACATACAATCAGTCTTCCTTCTCGTAACTATACCATTTCATAATATATTGGTTGCTTTCCTAGACATGTTCACGCAAGTCAATTCACGTATGACCATTGCTTCCAAGCTAAAGTAGCATACACCAACCTTTCACTTCTTGATATAATCAGAAGTCACATAGGGTATAATATTTATTCAAGGATCTCACACAACGAGTAGCTCGGGTTAGTTCTCACGTTTTCCTTGTTGGTCGTTCTTACACACGTGGTATGAAACACTTGTTACGGTGAAACTTCTCCACATAACAAATTATTGGAGCGTATGTCATGCTATTTAACAAACACCGTACAAATCTTAGTTCAAATACCACTCTTTATAGCGCAATTAATTCAACTACTTGGTATTTAACTTGAGTCACTTAGTGCTCGCCCCTTTAAACTTTGGCGCCTCAAACTAAGTACTCACATCTGGCATTTCAATAGATAGATTTCATGAATAGTGGGTATTCATGTCGGTCTATGTACATTATACATATAATTGACCTCATCTTGATAAAAATATCAAGGCGACTTATTTATTCAAATTCCATTTCCTTATCTTTGCAACTTTAAAACAGTCTCATCTCATCTATTGAGGTGATTGCTTGTGTGAGTGAGCCAATCTTTACCTATCTCAACATACCTTTTTAAAAAGATATATATATATATATAAATATATACATATATATATATATATGTGCTATGTATAATTAATATGCAATTCACTATTTGTCAAAATAAGTTGGAATGATCAAAGAAGATATCATAACCATTAAAACATCAAGGTGCAATCCAATACAAAAGAAAATACACACTACAACTTGAGCATTCCAATTCTTTTGAGAAAAGTGAAGAACTTCTCATGTGAC